ATATATAGGCAGTATATATTTTGTCTGGTAATTGGAGTCTTTGAGATTTTGTGTGTAAATGAATATAAAAATGACCCTTTACGGGTGGGTTGAGGGGGTGTTTCTGTCAACATTTTGGAAAGCAATAATATTTTATTAAAAAATTAGAATCATCACATATTAAACTCTGATAGTAGTATATATTGTGTTGTGTGTGATTAAAGTAAGGTTATTTTTTTACCCCACCTCTGCATGCAAGGATTTTTTGGCCACCCTGGGCACCTAAAGCAACTATTATTTTTCAGTTACCCCACCATTTTCTCTTCGGCCCCCACCCCTGCCATAAATAATGACCGGTCCCTAAACGACATGCGACGTAAGCCGTTACACTATCTGTATCAACACTTGTTGTACACAATCGTTTAGCCACAGAAGCAAGAGCATTACATAAGTCAGTTGATGCACTTTTGGAAGATGAACAAAAGCGTCGCCAACCAAATGCATCGACACCAGATGGACCGGCAGCGCCGTTGGTCCTCATTGCTGCTTGCTTGATGCTTTCACCAGTTAATCGTTCAAATATGATGGGATCAAAACATGTTTGGTCAAACTCGGTATCCGATAGAAGCGTTTCTGGTATCGGTGTTTTTCCTTCGGGATGTTTCTCCAGCAAGATCTCTCTCGTAGTTTTCCAGATAGCATTGCCATTGCTATCTACATCATGTATTAAAGCATCACGTTTATCAGCGATAGAAATCAAACGGACGGCTTGATGAACTTTCCCTTGCAACATAAGACGACTAAACCCACGCGTAATCTTCTTATATTCAAACGGCATATTCGTTTGAGAAATTAAATGCCTTTGAATACATTTCCCTTCATTAATGAGTGCTTTTATATCTCCTTTTAGCCATTGTTTCAACCGTCTTTCCAAATAGCAAACATGATCTTTTGTCTTACTTTTAACAAAAGGCTTTTGTAGTAACGATTGCATGACTGAGCACGCTTTCAAAGCAATACATTTGAGTGGGTAGTATCAGCGAAGGCTTGATAAATTCTTGCCAATTCTTGTATAAACGACTTTCCAACTCCACTCGATGGCACTAGAAAGACATTACGTTTACAATGAACAATATTTATTTCTTCGTACGCATCATTTATCATATCGCAAAAGTCGGTACCATTTACTTCGTTCCACATTTTTTAAGCACTCTGATTATACGTAAACGTTTTGATGCTAATTATTTCGTTGGTGTTTTTATTCCACTTTAAATTGTCCATTATGGTCATACCAAATACTTTGTGAGATACTACTTTATCTAATGGGACTTCATTTAGCAACAGCGGTGCTAAATCATATGGCGGGTGATGTGTGTCAAAATTCAATAACACATTTGGCAATGATAACGTAACATTTTGCTACAATAATAACACATTTGGCAACGATAAAGTAACCTTTT